TACTTTTGATTGTCACAATTGGGAGATGCTACTGGCATTTAGTGGGCAACAGGGATGCTGCTCAACATCTTATACTGCACAGGACAGCCCCCAACCACAAAAACTATCAGCCCCCACAGTCCCTAAAGCTGAAGCTGGAAAACCCTGCTCCAGGGCTATGTGTGAACATGGACAGCCTTTGCCCCTAGTTCCTTGGTGGGGAGCTGGCCCCACTGTATCTTCCTCTAAGTGCCAGACAGCCAGATCACACACTCTCTCTGAGGCTGTTCAGTTTACTTACAGAGGAACCCACTAGGTATTCTCCTGGTAGATCAGTGCCAGGAGGTTTCAGTCTACTTCTCTACCATCCTGAACCCACACCCACCATGGTTCTAAGGCTTTTTTTTTAACTTTAAAAAGTTAACAGATTTTACTTCTTAGAGCAACTTTAAGTTTACAGAAAATTGAGCAGATGGCGCAGAGGATTTCCACATACCCTCTCCCTCCCCGACCAGAGCTTGCTCTGTCATTAACATCCTGCATTAGAGAGGTAACTGTGTTACACTTCCTGAAACCAATTTGGACACACTATTATTAACTAAAGCTCACAGTTTACATTAGGGTTCCCTCTTGGTGCTGTACATCCTATAAGTTTTGACGAATGCAGAATGTCATGTATCCACTACTATAGTATCATACAGAATAGTTTCAGCACCTTAAAAAATCCCCTGAGTTCCACCTATTCATCTCTCTCTCTCTCCCTCTGTGTCCCTGACAACCCCAATCTTTTTACTGTCTCCATAGTTTTGCCTTTTTCCAGAATGAACAGGCACCAATCTTAACTGCATTGTACATCCCCATCTTCCCAGAGGGTATACATGAAGTCCTAGGCCACCTCCCCCAGGACATGGTGAGCTCTTGTCTTCTTATAGTTCCTCTCTCTTTCTTGCTTCCGGATGTGATTTTTTGTGTGTGTGATCTTAATTAATATGGGCAGGGAGTGTGTGAATGGTCAGTATGGTGAAGCTAATGAATCCCTGGTCCTGGGAACGGCCATTCCTTAATAGCCAGCAATATGGTGAGTATAACAGAGAGGTTAGGAAAAGATAGGTTTGGGGAATGTTCAGATGTAGGTTCAGATTCAGGCTCCCCACCTCCAGAGACATGGTCCTTTGGGCAAGTAAGGTGTCCTATGTGGGATTCATCTACCATATCTATAAAATGGGGATCATAGCAAGTGTTCATAATATTGGGGTACAAACTTAATAGGAAACACAGGTGCTGTATCCAGTAGTGTAACTATTCTCATCAAGAAATCATAATCCACTGCCAGAGATGGTTGCATCTCCAGCCTGACACATTATAATGATGGTCATGACCAAGTTAGGAGCAAGGACTTTAAAGCTCATTCTGAAGTTGTTTTGGAAGTTCACAGGAATGCGTGACTAAATGTACTTTGGGAAGAGATGTCCAGGAAAGCTGCACAGAGT